ACACACACACACACACACACACACACACACACACACACACACACACTCACACACGCACACACGCACGCACGCACGTACACGCACGCGCGCACGCACATTAGCGAAGGCTGTAATTGGGAAATTACCCCCGGAATAGACGTGAGATTTAAATGTAGCTGTTATTAACAAAGTAGGCTAATAATCATAAAGCTGAGGAGATAATGGCTACTTTTTGACGCCGATGTTATAAGTTCCGAAACGCACGTTCTAGAAGATATTCCATAATTGCCGACTCAAATTGGTTTACTTGGCGCTCACGGGGCTCACTAATAAGCCCTAATGTAGACGCTTTATCTGTTCAGAGGCGCTGTAATTGCAGATTACAGCTCTACATGCATAACACGAAGCTTTTCGCGTTTATCACCAATTATGTGGTAATGCTCTTTACGCGAAGATACGCCAAAGTGCACGAGTTAGGGAGTCCGTCAGCCGCCCGTACGTCATAAGCCGCGGGTCATTCATCACGGGTCATTGGCCATAGGTAATTGCTTCCGCGACTATTTTACACACAGACTACGCGCGCACGCACGCACGCGGTCGAAATCACCTCGTTTACGACGCTAACAAATCAACAAGGGCGACAAATCCCAGACGATCACCTATAGCAGTATTAAACACAACAAGGTCCGTAGTCACGAGGGCAACCTATAGCAGTATTAAACACAACAAGGTCCGTAGTCACGATGCACACAACAACGCGCGCGTTCGGTTGGGCCGCGATCGCGCGCGGGGGGGGGGGGGGGTAGTACGGAGCAACATTGCCGCACACCTGCAGTTTTACGCCCCCCCCCCTCTCCCGTGCATCAGCAGCAGCTGCTGGGTATAATGACCCTCGCCGTGACGTTACTCTAGCGGTCAGCCGCGCCGCTGACCACAATCTAGGCCACTGACCACATAGACCTGACCCACCTCAGGAAACGAGAAACGGGGGCGCTTGTTGATGCAAAGTACACGGGTCCTAATCACCCTGGCCTGCTGTTTACTATGGGGGCGCGCGATAAAGCCACTAGAGCTGTTGCTTGTTTAGGCTGGACCGTTCAGTGCCAATAGTCGGATGTGTACGAGTATACGTGTACCCGTACATTACTATAGGCAGAGGGTTGACAGGGAAGGAAGGAGGGAAGGGAGGGATGAAAGGGCGGAAGGCAGTAGGAAGTACTGATGGGAACGAGAGAGAGAGAGCGAGAGAGAGAGAGAGAGAGAGAGAGAGAGAGAGAGAGAGAGAGAGAGAGAGAGAGAGAGAGAGAGATGAGAAAAGCGCAGAGACTGACGAAGACGAGAGGAGGATGAGAAAAGGAGAGAGAGCGAGAGAGGGATGAGAGAGAGAAAGCGAGATAGAGGCGAGGAGGGGGGAACCTAGTGAATATGCCTTATATCATGCGCTAACACTAGCGAATTCAGCATTCGAACGCGCCACAATACACACCGATCTATATACGCCAGGGGCTCTGTGAGCCGGACATTCGCCTCTCAAGTAATAAGCCTACGTTTGCCTGGAGCGGTCGCCACATAGGCGGGCAAATCTCTCTCTGCTCACACCACGCTCATCAGCACGGCGACGCAATCATACCCCATTATACTACGCTAATGCAATGCATCTAATGACATCTAATTTTTGAGCGCTATATGTATATATATATACACACCCACATAGCTTTGTGTCTATATCACTCCTTAAGCTATGTATATAACTTATATAATATATAATATATAATTATATATAGATATTTCTTATATATAATAATAATATATTATATTTCTTATTTATACTATATACATAGCTTTGTAATAGACTCTTATATTCTCTTATACAGGGGCTATAGTACTAGACCTATGTCCGCGTACTATAAAGCCCCTGTGAGCCTGTGGCAACACGGGCACTATAGAAACTAGACCTATGTCCGCGTACGTATAAAAGCCCGCTGTGGCGCTGTTGGCAACAATGGGCTATTAGGCACTCAGAGCTATGGTCCGCGTACTATATAGCCGCTGTGGTAACAAGGGGCTATAGTACTAGACCTATGTCCGCGTACTATATAGCCCCTGTGGCCTGTGGCAACAAGGGCTATAGCACTAGAGCTATGTCCGCGTACTATATAGCCCCTGTGGCCTGTGGCAACAAGGGCTATAGTACTAGAGCTATGTCCGCGTGTAAACCTCTGTCACGTTGTACCGGCGAGTGTTCGTGCTTACCGTTAGTGCGAGCCATGGCTACGGGGATGTTGTCAGCTGCCGTCGTGTTTTTTTGCTACGTCTTCTTCATCTTTGTAGCAAGCGGCACGACGATTTCCACGGACACGTACACGCGCGCACGCACGCACACGCACGGTAACTGCGCGCCGGTGCGCCGCTAGCAAGAATGCCGCGTGCAGTAGTAGATGTGCCCACGTCCCCGACTATATATATATAGAGAGAGCGTCGTGTGTTCCTGTCACTGTTGCGCGCACACACACACACACACGCGTGCACGCACGCACACACGTACACACGCGGGGCGCACTCCGCTGCTGCTGCTACTGCTACTACTACTGCTTCTCGTGGCGCATGCGGCCACACGTTATACTAACGAGCGAGCGAGAGAGAGAGAGCAGAGACAGGGGAGCCGCGGTGCGCTGCGCAGCGGGCTTAGTCACACATCGATGACATCATCGTGACATCACGCGCAGACGCCGAGCAGAGCTAATCAATTATGCACGAGGTTCAAGCGCAACGCTCAATTACGTGGACGCGACAGAGGGCGCGTGGTGAGGGTGCCGCGCGTTGAAGCGCGTGAGTGTCGCGCGTTGAAGCTTGTGAGAGCGCGTGAGTGTCGTCCGTTGAAGCGTGTGAGAGCGCGTGAGTGTCGCGCGTTGAAGCGTGTGAGAGCGCGTGAGTGTCGCGCGTTGAAGCGTGTGGGAGCGCGTGAGTGTCGCGCGTTGAAGCGCGTGAGAGCGCGTGAATGTCGCGCGTTGAAGCGTGTGACGGGACGGTGTGTTGAAGCTTGCTGGTCCACTTCCTCGTTCGTCCCCCTGTATCCCAGACCACAACTCTCACAGAACAGATTTGTGACTTTTTCTTTAGAAGAAGAGTAGACTTCACAGTCGAAGCAGACACATATATCTGCTATCTTTTCTTCTTATACGACGGGTGTAGACTTGACTGCCGCAGCAAACAGATGCACGTGATATCTCTGCTTCGCGCGGAGTGCGAGTGGACCTGACGGTGCCGACGCGATGCTATACGCGATGATCTGATATCTCCTCTCTCTCTAGAAAGACTTCCCGGGCGACGCCTTCCTCCGATGGACTGTTGTTCCTTGTTCCCTCCCGCTGAGCTTGAGCTTTGTGCCTTGGTGTCCCTACCTCCAACGCTGTGCTATGCTGGCGTTAATGCAGTCAGTACCTTGGTGTACCACACATACACATACACACACACACACACACACACACACTAGACAGCCCCGCGGTGTTCGCAGGCAGGCAGCCGCACACACAGACACGCACACACGCGCGCGCACACAGCCGTGTTCTGCCGGCAGCACCAAGGCACTGATGCGGGCGGCGACCCGGCTGAATGAACTCCGGCAGTCCGCAGCAGAAGCGACCGCAGCCAATGACGCTCTCAGCCGCCGCAGCAGCAGCAGGCGCTGCCAGCTGGCACATGCCTGCAGAGGTCGAGAAGGCAGCGACACGAGTAGGGAGGGGGGGGCGCTATTCCACGCGCCGGCATCGGGTGGTTGG